GCAGAGTGGTGGTCGTGGTCAGTACGGTAAGGTTACGGGGTACTTCGAGCCACTGAGTCATGATGAAGTACAAGAGATTCTTACTAAGTATCAAGGAGAGATAACTCCTATGAATGCTTCCAAGTATCTTGCTATCTTCCAGAATAAAATAAGGGTGAGAAGTGGAGGCGCTGGGGATCGAACCTGCGTTGGAAGCAGACATGTTAGCGTGGCAATATGTTGTTTTCTGTCGATTGTTAGGGTAATGAGATACCTAAGAACTTCATCGCGTACATTGAGAAAGGCTTTCGAGAGTGTCTGGAGGAAGGCCCTTTGACGGGCTCGGCAGTGTGCAATTTGCGAATAGTGTTGGAGGGCGGCAAGCATCATGAGGTTGATTCTTCTGAAGTTGCTTTCAAAGCCGCAGCGCAAGGAGCGTTCGAGCAGGCGTTCTATGGCGGGTCGCCGACGATTTTACAGCCAGTCATGTAAGATGGTAGAAATTGTGTGGTGGTTGAGGCTAGCGCTAGAGCTAGACTTAGCTAGTAATAATGTTAGGAATGTGGAAGTAACTGTCCCTACTGATAAAACCGGATCGTTGATGTCTGGTATTACGGTGAGGAAGGGCTTGGTCACGGGTTCAGAGGCACTCACGGATTTGGATACGCTGGTACGGGCGAAGGTGCCCTTAAGGAATATGTTTGGTTTTACGACAGAGTTGAGATCAATCACACAGGTGAGTGGGGTTTTAAGGTAACGATGTATGGTATTGGGATAGGGTCATGGTGAGTGGGCTATGGACTTCCATGCTTATGAGGAGATGCCAGCTGATGACCAAGAGTCTGTTAAGAAGCAGTATGTCCAGCGACGAGCAAGAGAGAAGAAGCTCGAGGAGTGATCCTTACTGTGATACTATCGTTTCCGTGTGTCACCCCAACAAGGATGTGTGCATGAGGTTTCCGGGTAGCTGTTGCTGTTGAGTTGTGCCAGTCTTCAACTGTTGTGGTAGTTGTTCAGATTGCATTGGAAAGCGTCGTCGTTTACGACCTATTTGTTCCTTCCTCACTTATCTTTAATCCTCGCCATCGTCGTCGT